TTTTTATTCAACTTAATTGGCTATTCCAAAGATTTTTTTTTTCCTATTTTTGACGATTGGAGCCCTTAAGATGCACGATGGAATTGTGTTTTGCATTTTTTGGTAAAAGGAGCAAAGCGAGGACCTGGAGATAAACGCTGGAGCAATCTCCTTGGAAGGATTCAGCACGAGTAGATGGTAAACATTTAAAGGGGAAAGGGGGGGTTTGTTTAAAATAGTAAATCAGTTAAGTCATTTCTAAATTTAAAGAAAACAAAATTGGAGTTGAAGAATAAGTAGGTTTCCAATTGGCTGTTGCCGTTTTTCTTTGAAAAAATAAACATTTTTTAAAAAACTATGCATGGTTGTCCTTTTTCCTCTTCTAAGCTTTTAATTGGGTGACTGTCAGTTAATACTTTGAATTGATAAGATTCTGACTTTGTATTTTTGTGTTAGTAAATTAAAGGTTCTTGAAAAGTAATCTCTAAAGGTGTTTATTAACCAATTTAATTGTTAATTGTAAAAATATTCAGGGGAAGATAAGGTGAGAAAGGCAATCCTGTATATGATATGGTAAATGAGGGCTGATACAGTCTTTGAAAGATAAGCTTCCCATACTTTGATAAAAATTTATAGATGCTGTTTTTGGTGATCATCTAGACAACAGGCTTTTTTATGCAAAATCAAGTGATGACTCAGTTAATTTGGAGATAGCCTTTGAGATTCTCAGTGGAACTCATCTCAAAGGTGGGTAAATATCAAATGTTTAAATTGAGCACAGATTAGAACTCAACACAAATTTTATTTTCCTTTTGAAATGTGACTAGCATACTAGAAGATTTAGCTGCTGCTTTGAGTGAATCATTGCTAATAAAGAGCTTGAACATTCTTTAGAATTTTGGCTTGTAAACCCTTTTCAACCAACTGTATCTAAAACATACCAAACCAGTGATTACATCTTATAGTCTGCTAGCTTTTGTGTCTTTATTTGATATAGTCCCTTGGTTTTAAATTTTCTATTTGCTTGAATTGGAGGGACTTTTTACCTAAAATCCCTAATTGATTTCTTGATCGCGAGGCAGAACCATCAATCCACTTTTTCTGCACCCAAAACAAATAGCTAAAACATTTCTCCAGGGTGCCAAAATTTGGAAGCTGAATTTAAGTCAAGCTATTCAAGTGACATTACAAACCTAAGAGAAACTAAAAATAGTTTGGTAGTGGAGGAAATGGGCCCCAATAATTACATAAGGTCACCCAATCAATATATTTAAATGAATCTTGTGGGATTGTCAGGAGGAAAAAAAGATTCAAAACTAGTGTTCCACATTAAGTAAAGCAATTGGTTTAGATTCATTAAGGAAAGTTCAAAAGATGTTCAAGATTTACTAGTTAAGGCTAAAGTTCTGTTTTCCTGTTCAAGTACTAACTGGGCCGGACTCTACTTAGCTTCCAAGATAAAATTGAGTGTTTTCAGGATGGTATGCCTGTAGGCAAGTACAGTTTTATGTGTAGAATATTTTTTTAAATCTATTTTTAAATGACTAATTTTGGGAAGGTAAATGTGAAGTAGATTTAAGCAAGCTTGGGTTCATTTGTGTTCATTGAACATTTTGGAAATTGCCTTCAGAAGGCTGAATACGTTTAAGCTAACTTGAAAGATGTACTCTAGAAGTTTTAGTAGTTCCAACCCCAGATTGAAATGAGCTAGGAAACGTTTCTTGTATATCAACTGTTTGAAGATAAGAGGACATAATGCATGTTTGTAAAAGGTAAAGGGGCACAGGTTTTGCAGTTGAAAATCAGACAGCTAAAAGCTGTGAAAAGAGATGCAGACTGTTTCTGTTTTTTTCAGCCTTAGGAGATGGACCTTAAACCTCTACCCGTATTGGCAGCTATTAGAAGAAAGTCACCCTTTTGGAACTTAAAAGCTGGCTTGAATTTTTCCCCCTTTCTCCCTATTTACCCTTAGAATATTGTAGGGAGCCTATAATTAGCTTGTTACTTTCTAACCAAGGAAAAACTTAAGTCCAAGAAGCACTTATTTTCATAACATCAGATTGAATAACCCATCTTGCTGTTCAACCCACATCCTGGAAACAAAAGGTAAGAAACCCATTTTCTGATTCCTAATTGGGAGTTGAATTATGTTTAATAATTTTCTTAAAATACTGTTTGGAATATGAACAAATTTCCCTCAAATTTTTTTCCAAGTTTTATGTATTAATAAACTGCATGTATACATACGCGTTTTAATATGATTCTAGAATTTCAGCTATTTTAGTTTTGTCTTTGAAGTACCTTGATCATTAGGGCTGGTGTTTTCAAGTTTCTGTGAAGATGAATTTATGTGTGCCTTTTTGCTTTGTATATGAAGTAATGAAATACATAGTGTATATTTACCAGAAAAGGTATTAGAAGGAGAGAAACTATTAGACTGAAGTGCTATTGTACCATAATCCTTTGGTTTAACTTTATTACCAAATGAAGAGTGCAAAGACAGGAAACAATCTCTTATCCAAAAACTCAGAAAACAAAAATTTTTTTACTGAACTAATTGTAAAACCTGACCAGAATTGCCTTCATTTTGTACACTGTGACTAAAAACTGTTCCTGCAGAAATATTGATGTGTTTAATTATACAGTTGCCACTGGCTTTGTTTGCTGAGCGTGTTAACATTTCATATAAGGTCTGTATACCATATTTTTTTAAAGTGCGAACAGCTCTTAAATTTCAGATAACATCTGCCTCCAAGAGTTTGGATAAGGGATTGAAAAACTGTGTAATAGACTATTCAGGGCTAAAGCTTCTGTGTAATTTCAGACCTGTGAGTGAAAACAAACCTGTTACTATGAATCCTTTATTAATCGAGACGTAAGTTTTCTATCTTTTTAGGCAGAACCAGCCACAAAAAAAGTATGACTTTTTATAGTCAGTTTGTTAGTATAGTGGACTCAACATTTGTATCTCACTGAAGGAAATATTTTGCAATCCTAGTATATACAGGGGAATACTGTATTTTTTCAGTACAGGAACGTTGATCATTCCGATTCTCTAGGAAAAGCTGGGATTTGCATGAAGCGGAAAGATAAGGAAACATCTGTTTTATCTCTAGAACAGATAGTAATCCTGGCAAAAAACGTTAGACCCAAGAAGTTACAGTATACTTAAATCAGCACTTACTGTGATTTAGAACTAAAGAGATGCTTCTCCCTAACTTTGAAAGATACTTGACAACCCTGAAGGTGGTTACGATTTTGTTGGGATCAAGGGAAGGATTTTTTTCTATTAAAAAATCACTTAATGCTTCTGTAGTACACAAAATAAGTTAGTCTTTGTCATATAGTAATTTAGAAACCTCATAATAAACATTTAGGAGGTTATCAGAAGTCATTCATGCCTTTGCATGGGAGGTTATCATTTAGGTAGGTATGTAAAACAGATGACACCACTTA